TTCCAATTCTGCATGCCATGTAAAAATAAATTTAAAAAAAAAAAAGAAAAAAAAGTTCTTCAAAGCATAAAAATTTTCTCCTTAATAATTAGTAGATGTGAAAAACATTACCATTGAAATCTGCCTGATGACTTTATATCCATGCTCTCTGGAAATTGTTATTGAATATGTCAATGCTGTTGTAATGAAATGCTTCTTCTAATTATATGGTTATTAAATAAATAATTTTAAAAAATACTACTAAGTGACTCCATTGTGCAACAGAATGCAAGAACCACATCCACTAGGCAAATAGATGATACCTAAAAAGTCTGTTCTTAATATGACAGGGAAATCTACAGTGTCAACTGCATCATAGAGGCTGTACAGCCTGTTGCTAATGGGGCTAAACTATTAGACCCCGTCATTGGCAGGAGCTAGTGTTAGGGGAACAACCTCTGTACCATCCCCAGGTAGACTTCTATCAGCAGGACAAAGCTCCTGGAAGCCTGCAGTGCTGAGTTGGCAACCTATAGGCAGCAGTGTAGGCTTATGTACTGGCTTGGTGAAGACACAGGACATAGCCCCTCAAAGTTCACTGGTAAATGTGGAAGAGGTGAGCCAAAGTCTTGAGTGAGATGCCAACAGAAGGTATCATTCTGCCAACAAAACACTCCCATTCCCCAGTTACTCCAAAGATAAGAAAGGTATGGAAGGTAGGCTTATTTGGCCATTCAGAGCAACACCAAATAATTCCACGTTTGGTGTTCCCCAGAGACCTCTCCTGCTCCTAGAATCTACCATTTCTAGGCTTAAGAGTACCTTGAAAAAACAAACATCTTTTGCAGCAACCTTAGACACATTTTGGCTTGCATTTTCTTTTTTTTTTTTAATTTTTAAAAATGATTTATTTAATAACAACATACTTAGAAGAAGGATATCATTACAACACAATTGACATATTCAATTCATATTCAAAATTGGCTGTAAATTTTTAGGTTTAGAGTTGAATTAATACAGTTATACAATATTGAACTCAGTATAAACCCTATAAGACATAAAACTCAATGAGG